CATGTGTTTGGGTTTACACCAATGAGAAGGCAGAACAACATATTATAAAAAAACGAACCGACAGGAAGTAGGTCTCTTTTCCCGAAGCTGGGACAGCAGGAGGAAGGGTGAGATTTTAGCTCTGAGCTCTGACTTCTCGGCTTTCTCTTTTACATTGTTTCTGTGTTTCTTATTTAATAAGACGATTGGTTACATCTACAGGTACAAGTTGTGGTTATGGGTACAGGTAATGGATGTGGGTACAGGTATTGGATATGGGTACAGGTTATGGTATGGGTTCAGGAGATGGATATGGGTTCAGGAATGAAATATGCGTTCAGGTTTTGGGTATGGGTACAGGTCTTGGGTGTGGGTACAGGTCATGGATATGGATATAGTTTTGGATATTGGTACAGGTCTTGGATATGGGTACAGGTATTGGAAATGGGTACAGGTCTTGGTATGGGTTCAGGAGTTGGATATGGGTTCAGGTTTTGGGAATGGGTTCAGATTTTTCGAATGGGTACAGGCTGTGGTTATGGGTACAGGTATCGGATATGGGTACAGGTTTTGACATGGGTTCAGGAGTTGGATATGGGTTCAGGTTTTGGGAAGGGGCACAGGTACTGGATATGGGTACTGGTATTGGATATGGTTACAGGTCTTGGTATGGGTTCAAAGTTGGATATGGGTACAGGAATAAAATGTGAGTTCAGGTTTTGGGTATGGGTACAGGAATTGGATATGGGTACAAGTCTTGGATAGGGTACCGGTCATGGATAAGGATATAGGTCTTGGATATGGGTACAGGTCTTAGATGAGGATAAAGGTCTTGGATATGGGTAGAGGACTTGGATAAGGGTACAGGTGCAGGATATGGGTACAGGTCTCGGATATGTGTTCAGGTCTTGCATATGGGTACTGGTCTTGGATATGTGTACAGGTCTTATTATGGATTCAGGAGTTGGATATGGGTTCAGGTTTTGGGAAGTAGCACAGGTACTGGATATGGGTACAGGTATAGGATATGGTTACAGGTCTTGGATATGGGTAGAGGTCTGGGTATGGGATCAGGAGTTGGATATGGGTTCAGGTTTTGAGAAGGGGCACAGGTACTGGATTTGGGTACAGGTAATGGATATGGGTACTGGTCTTGGTATGGATTCAGGAGTTGGATATGTGTTCAGGTTTTGGGATTGTGTAGAGGTTGTGGCTATTGGTACAGGTATTGGCTATGGGTACAGGTTTTGGATATGGGTACAGGTCTGGTATGGGTTCAGTAATTGGATATGGGTACAGGACTGAAATATGGGTTCAGGTTTTGGGTATGTGTACAGGTGCTGGATATGGGTACAGGTATTGGATATGAGTACAGGTCATGGATATGCATAGAGGTCTTTGATGTGGGTAGAGGTCTTGGATAAGGGTACAGGTGCTGGACATGGGTAGAGATCTCTGATATGTTTTCAGGTCTTGTATATGGGTACAGGTCTTGGATATGGGTACAGGTCTTGGTATGGGTTCAGTAATTAAATATGGATTCAGGTTTTGGGAATGGGTACAGGTGCTAGATATGGGTACAGGTATTAGAAATGGGTACAGGTCTTGGGATGGGTTCAGGAGTTGGATATGGGTTCAGGTTTTAAAATGGTTTCAGGTTTTTCGAATAGGTACAGGTTGTGGTTATGGGTATAGGTATTGGATATGGGTACAGGTTTTGATATGTGTTCAGGATTTGGATATGGGTTCAGGTTTTGGGAAACGGCACAGTTACTGGATATGGGTACAGGTATTGGATATGGTTATAGGTCTTGCATATGGGTACAGGTCTTGGATATGGGTACAGGTGCTAGATTTGGGTACAGGGCTTGTATATGGGTACAGGTCTTGGTATGGGTTCAGGAATTAATTATGGGTTTAGGTTTTCGGAATGGGTACAGGTATTGGATATGGGGACTGGGCTTGGTATGGGTTCAGGAGTTCGATATGTGTTCAGGATTGAAATAAGTGCTCAGGTTTTGGGAATGGGTACACTTATTGATATGGGTACAGGTGTTGGCTATGGGTACAGGTCATGGATATGGATATAGGTCTTGTTTGTGGGTACAGGTCTCAGATATGGACAAAGGTCTTGGATATGGGTAGAGGTCTTGGATAATGGTACGGGTACAGGTCTCGGATATGGGTTCAGGTCTTGGACATAGGTACAGGGCTTGGATAAGGGTACTGGTGCAGGATAGGGGTACAGGTTTCGGATCTGGGTTCAGGTCTTGGATATGGGTAGAGGTCTTGGATAAGGGTACAGGTGCAGGATATGGGTACAGTTCTCGGATAAGGGATCAGGTCTTAGATATGGGTACAGGTCTTGGATATGGGTATAGTTCTTGGTGTGGGTTCAGTAGTTGGATATGGGATCAGGTTTTGGGAAGTGGCACAGGTACTGGATATGGGTAGAGGTATTGGATATGGTTACAGGTCTTGGATATGGGTACAGGGCTTGCATATGGGTACAGGGCTTGGATAAGGGTACAGGTGCAGGATAGAGGTACAGGTCTCGGATATGGGTTCAGGTCTTGGATATGGGTACAGGGCTTGGATAAGGGCACAGGTCTTGGTATGGATTCAGGAGTTGGATATGGGTTCAGGTTTTGGGAAGGGGCACAGGTACTGGATTTGGGTACAGGTCTTGGATATGGGTACAGGTCTTCGTATGGATTTGGAGTTGGATATGGGTTCTGGTTTTGGGAATGGGTACAGGTTGTGCTTATGGGTACAGGTATTGGTTATGAGTACAGGTATTGGATATGGGTACAGGTCTTGATATGGGTTCAGGAGTTGGATATTGGTACAGGAATGAAATATGGGTTCAGGTTTTGGGTATGGTTACATGTATTGGATATGGTACAGGTCTTGGATATGGGTACAATTCTTGGATATGGGTACAGGTCTTGGATATGGGTACAGATCTTGGATACAGGTAGAGTTCTTGTTATTGGTTCAGGAATTAAATATGGATTCAAGTTTTGGGAATGGGTACAGGACTAGATATGGGTACAGGTATTGGAAATGGGTACAGGTATTGGTATTGGTTCAGGAGTTGGATATGCGTTCAGGTTTTGGGAATGGGGTCAGGTTTTTGGAACGGGTACATGTTGTGGTTATGGGTACAGGTATTGGATATGGTTACAGGTTTTGATATGGGTTCAATAGTTGGATATGGGTTCAGGTTTTGGGAAAAGGCACAGGTACTGTATGTGTGGACAGGTATTGGATATGGGTATAGGTATTGGATATTTGTACAGGTCTTGGTTATGGGTACAGGGCTTGGATATGGAAACAGGTCTTCATATAGGTTGAGGAATTAATTATGGGTTTAGGTTTTGGGAATGGGTACAGGTATTTAATATGGGTAGAGTTCTTGGTATGGGTTCAGGAGTTGGATATGGGTTCAGGAATGAAATATGGGTTCAGGTTGTGGGAATGGGTACAGGACTTGGATATTGGAACATGTCATGGATATGGATATAGGTCTTGGATATGGACAGGTCTTGGATATGGATACAGGTCTTGGTATGGGTACAGGAATTAAATATGGATTCAGATTTTGATAATGGGTACAGATTGTGGTTATGGGTACAAGCACTAGTTACGGGTACAGTTATTGGAAAAGGGTACATGCCTTGGTGTGGGTTCGGGTGTTGGGTATGGGTTCAGGTTGTGGTTATGGGTACAGGTACTGGATATGGGTACAGGCATGATATGGGTTCAGGAGTTGGATATGGGGTCAGATTTTGGGAATGGGTACAGGTTGTGGTTATGGGAACAGGCACTAGATATGGGTACAGGTATTGGAAATGGGTAGAGGCTTTGGTATGGGTTCAGGTGTTGGGAATGGGTTCACATTGTGGTTATGGGTTACAGGTGCTAGATATCGGTACAGGTATTGGAAATGGGTACAAGTCTTGGTATGCGTACAGGTATTGGATATGGGTACAGGTATTGGATATATGTACAGGTCTTGGATATGGGTACAGGTCTTGGATATGGGTACAGGTCTTGGATATGGATACAGGTCTTGTATATGGGTACAGGTGCTGGAAATGGGTACAGGTCTTGGATATGGGTTCAGTAATGAAATTTGGGTTCAGATTTTGAGAATGGGTACAGGTTGTGGTTATGGGTACAGGTATTGTATATGGATACAGGTGTTGGTATGTGTTCAGGAGTTGTATATGGGTTCAGGAATGAAATATGAGTTCAGGTTTTGGGAATGGGTACAGGTTTTGGATATGGGTACAGGTCTTGGATATGGGTATAGGACTTGGATAAGAGTACAGGTGCAGGATGTGAGTACAGGTCTCAGATATGGTTTCAGGTCTTGGATATGGGAACAGGTCCTGGATATGGGTACAGGTCTTGGAATGGGTTCAGGTATTGGATATGGGTTCAGGTTTTGGGAATGGGTACAGGTTGTGGTTATGGGTACAGGTATTGGATGTGGGTACAGGTATTGGATATGGGTACAGGTGTTGGTATGGGTTCAGGAGTTGGATATGTGTACAGGAATGAAATATGGGCTCAGGTTTTGGGTATGGGTACAGGTATTGGTTATGGGTACAGGTCTTGGATATGGGTACAGGTCATGGATATGGATATAGGTCTTGGATATGGTTACAGGTCTTGGATATGGATTAAGGTCTTTGATGTGGGTAGAGGACTTGGAAAAGAGTACAGGTGCAAAATATTCGTTCAGGTCTCGGACATGGGTACAGGTCTTGGATATGTGTACAGGTCTTGGTATGGGTTCAGGAATTAAATATGAATTCAGATTTTGAGAATGGGTACAGGTTGTGGTTATGGGTACAGACACTAGATATGGGTACAGGTATTGGAAATTGGTAGAGGCCCTGTACAGGTTCAGGTGTTGGGTATGGGATCAGGTTGTGGTTATGTGTACAGTTGCTAGATATGGGTACAGGTATTGGAAATGGGTACAAGTCTCGGTATGGGTTCAGGAGTTGGATATGGGTAAAGGTTTTGGGAATGGGCACAGGTTGTAGTTATGGGTAAAAGTATTGGATATGGATACAGGTATTGGATATGGGTACAAGTCTTGGTATGGGTTCAGGAGTATGATATGGGATCAGGAATGAAATATGGGTTCAGGTTGTGGGAATGGGTACAGGTCTTGGATATGGGAACACGTCATGGATATGGATATAGGTCTTGGATATGGACAGGCCTTGGATATGGATATAAGTCTTGTTATGGGTACAGGAATTAAATATGGGTTCAGAATTTCATAATCGGGACAGGTTGTGGTTTTGGGTACAAACACCTGTTATGGGTACAGTTATTGGAAATGGGTACAGGCCTTGGTGGCGGTTCAGGTGTTGGGTATGGGTTCTGGTTATCGTTATAGGTACAGGTATTGGATATGGGTACAGGTTTTGGTATGGGTTCAGGAATTGAATATGGGTTCAGATTTGGGAATGGGTACAGGTTGTAGTTACGGTTACAGGTATTGGATATGGGTACAGGTATTGGATACGGGTACAGGTCTTGGTATGGGTTCAGGAGTTGGATATGCGTAC